TTTGACTATGAGCTTGTCAGCCTGACAGCAGCCAACTAGATATTTCAAAGTCTATACAAAATAAGTAGGACACGTCTTTTGCATTAATTTACGTTTTGTTCATAATAAAAGTAATTCTGATCAATAGGAATTCAAATCGAGTGTAGGTATGTAAAGGGTTAGAAGTGAAAAAATTTGCTTGATAGACCAATTACATCGTATGTAAAGGTGGCCCACTTCATAACCTAAGTATGTTATGAACTATTTTCTGGTCCACAAATTAATTATTTCTTGTAACCCTATTGAGCAAGAAAAATATGCATTATGAGAGATAACTTGTTCAAGCGCGACTACAATTCTGTAAATCTCTAAATTCCAGGAAATTGTGTACATTTTCATAAGTCTAAATAAGTTTCTGCTTTGGTTTAGCTAAAACTTGGACAAACGTCAGAGGTTCATTTTCATTTTAACTAATGTTACATAACAAATAGGTTTGGAAGCGTGTGACTAAGATCAATACAAGTCTAGTATAAATATCACTAAATAAGTAATCACAGTTTGGCGCTGAATTATTGACACCAAATAGCATAATGACAGGACATTACAACTGGATTGTATCACAGATTATATTCTCAGAGTTTACAATCCTAAACAAATAATCAACCAATGATGGATGCATCGGTTGTACGTAATCCATATTTCACAATTGACATGTTCACAAATATTTACACTACATTTCATGCCTACTGAAACAATGTTTATTATATATTGGTTTACGGGTAATGCTGATCCATAATTTATGACGTATCTAGATTTATTTATGCAGATCCATTGTATTGAAATTATGTTGTTATTAACTAATTATTTATTTCAAATAGAAATTATCTAATGTTATGAAACCGATATATTTGTCCGGAAGGAAAATAGAAAAAAGTAGTACATTACATAACGGGATGACAAGTGGTTACGTTATTAGTCACGGACTTTTAAGAACAGAGGCATCCTGAAGGAGAGCTAAGGAGCGGATTCCGTTGCCTTGGATATCAACCGCTTATACCGGGTGTTCTCGGAAACGGTAAGAGATACGAAGTCGGTTAAATAGGGAAAAGTTACGGATTTACGAAACTAAGGGAATGGTACTTACATAATTTTGCGATTCAGATTATTTCCGGAGGTAGATGAAAAAAACGATTTTTTCTAAAGTTACTTCTATTTTTCGCTGATTTATTTGAGGTAGGACTTCAAAATAAATTGCACATAAACGTTGCCATTTTCCTCTCTACAATGTGTGATACTTGTAATGTCAAAAAGACGTTTCGCCTCTTTTATCTCAAAAATGTATAGTGGCCTAATATTGTAAAACTATAATTATTAAAAAACAGCATTTTACTAAGATGGCCCTGAAACTATTAGCAAATAATTTGTTATACTATTCTCAGTTGCTTGCCTGGGCGGTCCGTAGGACCTTTGTACATTAGTCACTGTCTAATGTACGTTAGTCGAATCTGTCAGTACTGGTTGCCAGACAGTGTCAAAGAAAAAGAGAACGGAAAAGAGAAGAAAAAATGGAGAAGAACAAAGAAAAACAGAAGTGTTTAGTTTAAGAGGAGACACCTAGGCTTTTTGACTTGGTACACGGATTAATTTTGAGGTGAACTAAGTAAATTTTTGATTCAATTTTGTTAGAATCTAATTTTAAGTGTACTACAAGTTTCGCGCTAATTTACAGTGCGAGCCGTGGCCTTGAATGTTTACGAACTTGCTCCACTGTGTAGTCCACTGAGACGCGCAACAGAGGGTTGCTGTGCGATTCCGCTTGACTATAACGTCGCTGCGCCTGAAGTTTAACATAATCCCTCAAGTAAGGAATGTCAAGGCCTCTGTGTAGTGTCTCGTTTGAGACATACCGTGGAGCGTTGCAAATTGTTCGCAAAGTTCTACTTTACAGTTCGTGGAGACTTTGCATATGTGTCTTGGCAAGAAAAGACCAAGCCGCACATGCATAAGTAATGGCTGGTCTAATAATCATTTTATATAGGCGAACTTTGTTTATCAAACTCAATTTGGAGGATAATAACAAAACGAAACGCAATTTGGAATTTTGTTTTCAAGGCAGCTGTATGTTTTTGCTAGGTCATGCCTTTATCAAGGGTGACACCGAGGTACTTGGCAGAATTTGTCCATGGTACACGACTGCCATTTACAGATACCTCTGCTAGGGGGCCGCGACGTTTTTTGGTATAATAAATGGCCTGCGTTTTCGAATGATTAATTTTAACCAGCCACCGTTCCGACCACTCTAGTACTTCTTCCACCGCACTCTGCAACCCATCGTGAACCAGATCACCAGTACACGACTGGGTGACAAGTACAGTGTCGTCAGCATAAAGGTAGACCTCAGAGTTGCTGGGGCAAAGGACATCATGGATAAAAAGCGAATAAAGGATTGGTCACAGGACCGAACCCTGAGGAACACTTGCCCGTACTGGCCGTGTTGTTGACAAAATATTGTTAATTTTGTTCCGAAACTTCCTTCCTTCTAGAAAGGATTTCAGTAATTTTAGAAGCCAAAAAGGAAAACCATTTTGGATTAGATTATAAACGAGGCTCGCATGCCACACCTTGTCAAAGGCTTTTGAAAGCAAGATGCCAATACTCATACTGAGGGTGAACCCTCTGGTTACATGCTCGGACCGAAAACCGAATTGAACGTCAGGAATCACATGGTGATTTGACGAAAAATTCTCAAGGTGACAATAAATCACCTTTTCGGCGAGCTTAGAACGAGCGGACATCAGACTTATGGGACGGTAATCCTGAGGAAATATCGAACCCACTTTCTTTGGAATCATGATGACCTCAGCAGTCTTCCACCCAGCAGGGAAGTACTGAATTCTGAGCGTCGCATTGATTATTGTCACCAAATATGTCAGGGCTTTCGTCGAGAGCAGCTTCAACGCCTTATTGGTGATTTGATCCTCTCCAAGTGCTTTACGCACTCTGCGGTCTTTAATATGACTTAGGAGCTCCTCTGGTGTGCAATGTGGAAACTCGGAGAGTTTCGCTAATGTGCTATGTGGAGCCTCAGACGAATCTTCTGAAGACGAGTCATCTGAAGAGGATTCAGTGCCTCCTCTAACGCCGTTGGTCCTAAAATATCTCCTGACAGATAGTACGATGTGCTGCTCCTCGTCCAGGCCATTATCAATATCATAGTTGGGAGAGAACTGTTTTTCCATGGCATCAGCAAAAACCTCGACTTTGTCCTTCGTTCTAAAGATTATGCCTTCAGGACCGTGGATGTGCGGGAGTTGTTCTCGCTTTCCGTTTCTGAGTGACTTTGCCACCCTCCAGAGAGGAATACTTGAATCAAGCATTCCTGTCAGAAAGTCGCTTGAAGTCCCCTGCCACAATAAGCAGACCAGAGTAGCCCAAAAGGAACTCCAGATCCGCCTCTTGTAGCCTACCACTACAAACGAGACACCTCCCGCCATATTGACCACCACAGAAGCTGCTTCCATGCTATGCATCTCCGTATTAGTGCTTCTATAATAGTCTATACCGCGCTTAATCAACACTGCTAAACCGCTACCTCGACCGTTCAATCTGTCACCTCGGATAACATCGTAATTCGGGAGAGCTAAACTATCTCCCGGATTAAGCAACGTTTCCTGCAGCAAGGCCACATCTATACCTTCATTCAAAAGAACTTGATGAAATTCCCGTTTTTTGGGAATATCCCTCATGCCCAAACAATTCCAAAAAAGAATGATGATGAATGCAGGCTGTCTACTATTGTAAATAGACATTTACAGAAAATATCGCCTGCAACGCTTGGGTAGCGGTAATCAGTGGGCCTATTATTTGTTGTTGGGAGGTTTGGGCAGAGGGGGCAGGCAAGGTTGCGCTATAACTTGCAAGTTCCTCCTTGTAGTCCCTCCGCCCACCGATGACAAAGGTTTGGTAATAGATATAGTGTGGGTGGTATTTTGTTTTGATGAAGTGTGGGTGCGTAAGAGAGTGGATTCTGTATTTGGAAGAGGTGGAAACTCCTCGGCTCGTCGGGCAGTCTTGTTGCTTCTCCTCCTTCTAGATTTTGCATTTATAAATCCGTCGGTGTGTGTGTCATCGTCTGTGGATGTATATTGATCGTCGGTCATGGTCCGTAGCGGTCTCTTTAGGCTGTTGCTCCGTTCTTTGGGGGATGCTTTCGAACTTATTAAAAGAGTTACCTGAGCGGTCAGGCTGTCAATTTCAGCCATCTGGCCCTTGATTGTCTGCATGAGTAAAAACCTTTAAGCTCGCAAATGTGACAATGTTGTCAAAACCCTTCGTATAGGGCGTTTTGGTGATTTGTTACATGTATAGTAACTATTTTGGAAAGTAGAAACTGATTTTCAATCTATTTTGAGATCCCAGGACAAAGTTAGAATAAATCAAAAACAGTTTTGGATAACATCGTTTTTTCCATTCATTTCAAGAAACACTCTCAATTGCTCAACTTTCTAAGTGTGCCTTTCCTTGTTACATCACCTTTTCCAAGACCCCAATTATGGAAGTCGAATTTGAAATGTCTGTTAGAATAATTCCATTAATTTTCAGTGTTGAGAGAATTATACCGCGTCTTGAGGCGTTTTCAATTTTTTACCAGCAGCGGACCTAGTACGTGACTCGCGAAAAGCTCCATACCTATTTTTTCTGATAATAAAAAATACCACAAAATTCCCACGTAACGGATATCTCGCGGAAGTTGATAAAGTTGACACAGTCGCAAACAGGGTGCCAACAACGCGTAATGCATTCTGAACACCGCCCGAAATTAGATAGTAGGGAAAAACCACCATCGCGTTGCCGGCGTAACTCCAAACTTCCGGGGGTGTTATAAAACTTCGCGAGTCGCGAAAGAAGAAGAGCGTACTCCTCGGCGTGACTGACACCTCTCGCAGAATAAAAAGTAAATGTGGATTGGAAACAAAACGGAAAAGTTTCCGTCGAATGCCGAACTCGATAACTTCTCTTACCGTATCTAACAAAAGCCGAGGATGTCATCTTTAATTCTGTTCGCAAAAGGAGATATGAACTGATCCTACCAGCGGAATAGCAATGCCTTCAGTGACGGAGCTAGTTCTAGCCCTCAAGGGGGATACAGGATTAGCTGGCAAATAATATATTGCATATGATTGGCCATATTCATAAAGTGGACATAGGACTGCGTGGAAGCACCAACGAATTTGTATTAGGTAAAGGGAGCAAAGCAAGGATTTGTTTGCAACCAAAATTACATAGTCAGAAGTCAGAATGCAGGTTCATACTACAAGTCGTTCAGTCTCAAGCCGCCAGTTTGACAGTTGTTGACATTTCACATTAAATTTGAAAATATATAAAAATGCGTGGATTAATAATAATAATAATAATAATATTTATTCACTCAATGTGCAAAGATAACAAACAATATGAGTAAATAAATATAAAATCAAAACAGGCCCAATAGAAGGCATCGCCTGTACATGGACCAATAAATAATTTTAAGTTGTAACTGTAGAATGCAAATGACAAAAAGGGACAAAATTAGCTACAGTAGATTATGTATTTACTTGATGTTCGTATTTATGAGTTTATGAATTTCAGTCCTAGATATTGAATGTAGCCACTTTTTTAAATTTCTTTTGAAACAATTTCCGAAACGTAAATCTTTTAAGTCTTTAGGTATAATTTCATAAAATTTTGGCGCTAAATAGAGATATGACCGCTGCATTATAGATTTATGCGGCTGAGGAACTACTGTGCCACGAATTTTGTACCTTGTATAATGATTATGTTTAATTTGTTGGTCGGTGTTTACAAATTTATGGTAGTGAGTGATACTGTGTAAGAAACAAAGCTGTCTTATATCATACATCCGAAAATCTTCGTATAATTTGTCAGTGGGATAAAGTTTCGGTTTTTTAAATATCATTTTTAGAATACTTTTTTGAAAAAAATCTAAATTATAGATATGTAAGGAACATGCAGCTCCCCATGCTAATATACCATATGTAAGATGAGGCTCAATTAGTGCATGGTATAATGTTCGAAGATATTTTTCTGTCAATATATTCCCAAGGTATTTAATTTTGTAGGACACTCTATTAATTTGCATTTTTTGATCATTAATGTTGAAGAAAAAATTTGTGTAATTTGGCAGATATCTAGCATAAGATCCTAATGGTAAAAAATGTGTTTTAGAATAGTTAATGCTTAATTTTCTACTGTTAAACCACCGAATAATTTTGATAAAATCATTTTCAATTACATTTTTCAGATCAGACCAGTCAGTGCCTTCATACAATATTGCAGTATCATCTGCAAAACTGGTTATTTTGCCAACACAATTAATATCATTTAAATATATATTGAATAATAGCGAACCTAAGACAGTTCCTTGTGGACACCACCCTTAATATACATTTCTTTACTAAACGATCTTGATATCTGCACAGATTGTGGGCGATTTGACAAATAATTTTCGATCAGTGAGTACGCGTTTCCTCTGAAACCAATTCTCTCCAATGCTTCTAATAATAATTTGTGATTAACTGTGTCGAAAGCTTGCTTTAAATCAACAAAAAAGCAGATTGAAGGGATTCTGTTATCAATATTTTGTAGTATTTGATTTACAATTTTAGTTATTGCGTCCGATGTAGCCTTCCCTTCTGTAAATCCATATTGAGTTTCACTTAAAATTTTGAATTTTGTGAGGTATCGAATCATTCTAGTAGATAAAAATTTTTCAAAAACCTTTGCTACACTGGATATTATTGATATTGGTCTATAGTTGTTAACATCTGTTTTTGTTCCTGATTTATGTAACGGTATATTACCTTTTTTTAAAATTGAGGGATATATGCCAGATTCAAAGCATTTGTTGATAAGGTAAGTGATTGGTTCTGTTATGTCTTCGGCTATAAATTTCAAATGCTCGCTTTTAATACCATCGAACCCAGGACTTTTTCGATTTTTTAAGGATATAACAGTGGTGTATACATCACATTGCTCGACTTTATCCAAAATAAATAAGCTCAAAGATCTTTTTGGAGGCTGAGTATTGGGTACATCTGCTTGTATATTACTTGCTAAATTTTCGCCTGTCAGTAAAAAATTGTACAAATTCATCGCATATTTGTTGAGTATTTTAATACTGTTCCAGATGTTGTATTTAACTCAGTGACACACTCTTTAAATTTTGTTTTACCAGTAATCTCATCAATAGTTGTCCAAAGCCGCTTAGGATCATTTGTTATTATTCAATTTATTTAGGTAATCTTTTCGTTTGGTTTTCCTTGCAAGCTCTATAAATTTATTTTTATATTGGTTGTAGCAGTCGATATTCTCTGTAGTTGGCGTTACTTTCATTACATTATACAGTCTTTCTTTTTCTATTGCCGATGTTATTAATCCTTTGGTAATCCAGGCATTTCTGCTTTTCTCTTTGTGACTAATTATTACTTTATTGGTACTAATATCTATTAGTTTTTTTATTTTCCCTATGAACAGTCCCGTTGCTTTGTCTATATTATTTATAGAGTATAATTGTTCCCAGGATTCTTGTTTGACATTTGATATTAGTTTTGAATTGTCGACAAAAAATTTGTAATTTTCCTGGTTGTTATTAACGGTAGGGATGTTAGAATGTTTTTCATTTGAAGATATCAGTAAAATAGTGGAGAAGTGGTCAGTAATATCGCTTTCTAGGATTATTGGTATACAAGTAATTTTGTTGGATAGGTCTTTCACAAAGCAGTGATCTATACATGTGCCACTGATGGACCTTGTAGGTAGGTTTATATAGGACAGAAATCCGTTACTTGATAGGATATTCAAGTATTCATTTGTGATGGGATCATCGTCCAAAATATTTATATTGACATCTCCCAAGAAAATATGTTGCTTTAAATGAACGTTATTTTGATTTTGAAAAAAAATCGATATTCTTTAAAAACTCGTGGGGTTCTGAACATGGCGGACGATAAATTGCAGTAACCTCAATTTTGTTATGGTCAATTTGGATCATTATGTTTAAAATTTTGATTCCATCGGTAAAAGTGAATGTATCATGATAATATTGAAGTTTATTTCTTACAAAAACTATCACCCCATCGTTTTGGTTATAAGTGCCAAAGTTATACAGCGTGTCATATCCCTGCTGATTGAAGCAAGAAATATCAACCACTTGCCACGTTTCAGTTAAAACTATTACATCAAAATTGTACCATATTTGGTCGAGTAGTATTTTTAAGTAATCAATGTTGTGCTTTGTACTCCTTATGTTCATATAAAAAATTCGAAATTTTGCATAAGAATTTTGTGTACATAAATTAAGTTCATCCACGTTTTGTGCTATATTTGTTGCAATACTTGGAATTTGGAAATCATTAATGTATTTATTTACTGACATTTTTAGGTTCTCTTTAGAGATAGGAGTATCAAAAGAAGAACTTGAATTTTAAAAAAGTATCCTTAGGTTTTGTTGTTCCTGATAATATTTGAACGATGGACAGTTTTTGTCGGTAGGTGAGTGATTGATATTATAATTTTTTTTATGTCTTTCATTTCCATATCTACAGTTGCAGCATTCTATTGATACATGCTTACAATTTTCTCCTTCGTGACCGTTACCTCAGTCGGCACATATTTTCTCATTTCGGCAATTCTTTTTTGTATGATTAAAACGGTAGCATTTTCTACACTGAGAAATGTCGTTATTTTGATATACTGTCAAACATTGCCACCCCAGAAGTATTCTTCTATTATTGTCTTCGAAGATTTTTTTGAATAGCTTTCCAGAAGTTTCCACGTAGATAGTGTAATTATTTCTCGATGGAAAATATTGTATAAGTTTTACTTGCATGTCTCCACTCTGAATCATATAATTCTGATGTATAAGATCATCTGCAATTTGCTTTTCATTTGGTTTCTCACTACTTCTATAATTTATTATTTTAATTTTTGGATTTAACATTTTCGGCTCAGTAACATGGTATTTTTCATTCAATTTATTTTGCATATTATAATCCTAGTGTTCTAAACAGCTGCCAAATATACTCGTAGTGCGTTTCTATAGATTTTAGTTAAACTGAATAAGAGCAAATATTTGTATCCATGAGTATTATTCATCATACTCATCAGCGCTGCGAAATGGTATGTACCACATTGGGCTTTTACCTTGTCAGCTGTGAGGTAATTTTGATTTCATTGAGCACACAAACGCAATCTAAGGTTTTTTGAGAGAATTGTATATCTAATAACGGCCAACCGAAACTTCAATCCAATTAAACCAGCACTTAACTTTATCTCCTTTAGTTTAGAATCCAAAAGTTCCTAGGAGGTTCTTTTTCCATATAAGCAGTAACTTTACGATCTGTTCTTAGTGCCACGAGATTCTATTCAGGAACCTCAGAACGCCTAATATAACTATTGATATCAAATTAATTAAAACACTTCCAATTTTTTAATTAGCTATAGTGACAATGATATCATAGCAGGAATATTCATACTGAATGTTGTCAGGAAACAATGCTTAATAAAGAACTTCTAGTGCAGTACCCACTAGCATATATGCCTAATTCATTCTTAAGTCATTCTGATTTTATCCAACGGAGCTTATTTGGCTTTTATGTTTTTATAGGTCTTACTTTTTACATTATAAAAACAATCATATTTCTCATACTCGATTAGTAATATGTCACACTGCTATTTTGATCGGGACATCTTTTAAGTTTTCAATCTATAACTAGAACGCCGTAGTCGTCTGCGCACTTTTAGTATGATATTACTTAGACCAGTTTTTACAAAATTATGTACTAAATGCTGTCTGACACTATACCTTTATTTTGTACGAAATTTATTACAAAACTTCGTATAGTCACACGCGACCTTTAAACTTGTCCGTCTTTGATAGCTCACTTCGAAAACAACGTGAGATGTTGACTTTCCGGCACATGCAAGTGTATCATCGAAGGTCAAATCTTGTTGTTGTTTTTTGGAGTGCTTATGTCAGTGGCGCTTGTGGT